GAACACTCTGGAACGCAGACTTTGTGGTGTAAACTGGCCCTCTCTCGTGTCTGTCTGTTCTCTCTTTCCTCGCTCTCTCCCTGTTTCTATCTGCTGTCTCTTCTCTCAATTTCTCTGCTGTCTCTCCCCTGTCTGTTTTCTCTTACCTCCACTGCAGCAGCTTCCCAGGTCTCCTCTCGTGCGCCGGCATCCTTTCCTAACGCGGTGCTCGTGTGGACGAATGTGGCTGATGTTGCACACAGGGAGAGGTTGCATGTGATGTCACCTAGCGCCCTGCCTCCAGGATGTGTTTTTATATTTTTTATTTATTTTTTATTATTTATTTTTTTTGACTGTTGGGGGGGCTTCGGGGAAATATTAGGGGTCTAAACAGCCCCCTGATATTTACCTTTTAAACTAGAAAAAGAAATTGAGGACACAAAGTCCTCAATCTCTTTTTCTGCAGCATCTGTTCTAAATGAATGGACAGTACAGAGGCTTGCCATTCATTCAGAAAATATTTACTATCATCCAGTTTCTGAATGGGGAGAATCCTCTGTACAGAGTGCTACTCCCCATTGAGAAATTCATGAATAAACAGGAAGTGATGTAAAGCACTTCCTGTTCATTCGCAACTGGGGATACATTGTACTATGTGTCCCCAGTTATTTACAAACACTGGAGCGATCAGTTGATTGCTCCAGCGTTTGCTCTGCACAGAGGATCGGTATGTACCGATCCTCCGCCGCTCTGCCAAGCACATAGCTCAGCCTTCAGCTTTTCCTCTGGATGCCCGCTGCTCTCCCCTGCCTGTATGCAGTGGGGATCCGAGGAGAAGTGAAGGAATCGCTGAAGCTGGCGGGGGGGGAGGGGGGCGGAGGAGGGAGCCGCTGTCACAGCAGCATGGCCGAGCGGTGAGGAGAGAGAGAGCCACCTGCTGTCAGATCCTGTGGCTGAGCCCTGGATGTTCCCCCCCTCGCACCTGCGCCCGAGTGCCTCGCTACAGCCCTGTCGGGAGGACAGGACAGAGCCGATCACGATGTACCAGTGTTAGTTTTGCGATTGACTGGTAGATCGCTATCGACCCAATGGGCACCCCTGGTCTAGAAGTATGTATTTGTAGATTGTCAGTACTAAACATTTCTAAAGGTGTATTTGTTGTCATATCAAAGATATGGCTAATAGTCCTCTAAGTTATGACTGATTGCACATTCTCCTGAATGTACTCTTAATCCGAAAATTGCACTTTTGGCAAAATGCCGAAAGTGCCATCTTTCGGCCGAAATAGTGGTGCATCCCCGGTTTCTCCCCTCCCCGCTGGGCATTGCTCTCTCTCCTCTGACACAGCGCAGCATCCAGCGGGGAGGAGAGAAACTGTCACAGGAGGCCAAGCGGTGCAGGGAGGAGAGCTCTGTGAGTGTCCGGATCCAGAGCACCCCCAGGTGGTACTGGAGCCAGGTCCTGCAGTTCCTGTGCTCGCCTGCGGGTGTCTCCAGCAGCCAGGGACTGTAAGGAACCAGCAGCTCCGGTACTCACCTGCGGGTGTGCCCCAGCTGTGACTGATCATCCCATCACCTGGTGCTTCCTGGGAGGGTATTTAGGCCCTACCTGCAGTCAGGAAGCTGGCTCAGAATTTGTGTTGCCTGCCCTTGACTGATTCCCATAAACCTGAAACCCTGCTTCCTATCTGCAGACCTGTCACCGACCCGGCTTGTTACCCGACCACTCTCCTGGATCCTGTTCCTGTACCGTGCTGCTGCCCTCCTGTTAACGACCCGGCTTGTACCTGACCACTCTTTTATCCTGAGGCCTGCCATATATCTGCAGGCCTGTTACCCCTCCTTGTTGCTTCCCCCTGGCTGTAGGTGTGTGTTTGTCCCAACGGTGGGTTTATTACGTCACTGCTAAACCTGTGGGGAGTTGAGGGGGTTGTAGTTTTGTTGTTGTGTAGCAAATAAACTGTGCATAGAACCCTATCCTGTGTGGGCATATTAATTTGGTCATCCTGCGTGGGTACCTGCATGAGGTGTGAGGACGCCTGTGCAGGGTACCCTGACAGAGAGCGACCGGCTGTCACAGTAGGCTGAGTTCTCCTCCCGCACCGCCCTGCTCAGCCTCATGTGTGCTCTCCTTAAACACCGCCCCACTCAGCCTCCTGTGACACCCGACCGCTCACAGACCTCTCCTTCCCACACTGCCCCGCTCAGCCTCCTGTGACAAATCAGGAGAGTGGCATAGACAGCTGTCCCAGGAGGCCGTGCCAGCCGTGCAGGGGGAGGAGTCAGAGGAGATGAGCTCTCCCCCCTACATGGCTTGCTCAGCCTCCTGTGACAGAGTCAGGATGGAGAGCAGGTACAAGCACTCATCAATCACTGAGTGTTTGTAAATAATTGTGGACAGAGTATGTTTACTGTGTCCCCAATTATGGATGAATGGGAAGTGATCTACATCACCTCATGTTCATTCATGATTGTGGACATGGTAAACATACTATCTCCACAGGTTATGAATGAACAGGAACACTCACTCTTTTTCTATTTTAAAAGGGAAATATCAGGGGTCTGTTTAGACCCCTAATATTTCCCCAAAGCCCCCAACAGTAAAAAAATATATATATATATTTAATAAAAATATTTTTAAAAACTTGAAAAAGTTAGAAAAAGAAATGTGGTTACGGCTTCGGCCTTAATTTTTTTAATTTTCGGTTTCGTTACTTTTTTGAAAATTTAACTTCGGTGCACCTCAACATTAAAGACCTGGACTATTGAAACTGTTCCCCAAAAAAGGCAAAAAAAAGCAAAGGCCCAGAGGGCAAAGGACAAGTTACTGATATTGCTTATAGGCTTTCTACAGCTAATCTTTTCTCCATTACCAACTGTTGTGTTCTGCCCAGTGTCTCTATGTGGAGATGGCCATCTTGGTAGAGGCAAGGTTTTGTTTCCTCATGTTAGATTTGCCCCCCTGATTACTGGTTTGGAAATATTCAAGAAGCAGCAGGAAGGTAGGAAGATGCTTGCAATGCAGCTTTCTCCAGCAAGGAGAACGGGGAGCAGCACAGTAGGGACACCCACACATCTAGAGAGACTAGCAGTCAGAAGCACAGTGCCTTAGATGTATTGCAGATATACAGCTATGAGGCTAAAGGTACAGGAGTGCCTTGGCACATAAAGTGACACTAAACTTAGCAGTTAATCTTTAAAAATGAACTCAATTCCTTCATTATTAACAAAAACCTATCTTATTTGTGCATCACTCAGCTGTAGATACTCAAATCATCACCGAATAGGTGTGGACACTGTCCTTCCTTCTGGAGGGTGGTTACTTTTATTACCCATGTTCACTGTGTGTGTTGTAAAGTAATCACCACTCTAAGCTAGCTTCTGTTAATAGTTAGGCTAGGTTCACACCAGATGCAGTGCGTTCCGGCCCGATTCTGGCCGAAACCCACTGCACCGCATTGCGGCTGGCTCACTCTTTTGTGAGGCAGGAGGGGGCGTTGCGGGCCTTTGAAGTGAATGGCACCGTAGCCATGCCCTCCGGCCGCAATGCGATAGGCCGCACAGGATCGCAAGGCACATTATGCCTGCGGTCTGGTCCGATCAAAATGCTACCTTACATATTTATTATTAGCGGTAGAGGTAATGGTGAATAGGAGGTTGCCAGTGAACTTTTAATGACATTTATTTATTTACATTTTTTGCTCTCTCTCTCATTCTGAGATGTGCACCAAATTAGAGAAAATAAATGGAATCCGCTATCCACGCTAAACAGCATGTGTGGAGGAATCTCCAGTGCCAGCTATTGCATTCAAGCAGACGTGACACCCGTGGTAGTCTGAATACCCGAACAATGACTGCATCTTATAGGATGCATTCCCTGTTCAGCCAATAAATTTCCACCTGGCTCAGTCAATTTTTTAATCAAATTTTGTCAAGGCAGGTGGCGCCGAAAGAGTCGCCCACGACTCCAGTTCTGTCTTATTCAGCAGGAATTGGACAAAACTCAAACTGTGTATGACTAGTTTAAAGCTAATAGGTCAACATAACAACAAAGTAACTAGCATGTTTAGGTGGTCAGCAAAGGCAGACACAATATTTCTCTCATGCCAAGTTTACATTAAGAGCTGCGCATCTGTAAAAGACTTCCATGAAGAAAATATGATGGAAGGGATAGTGGAACTAAATGTGGCTCCTAAGCCACTGTTTGAGCTTTAAATTCCAGGCAATTCGCTAAATACACAGGTGAAAAACATATATGGCAACTGCCAAAGGAATCGTATTTCTGCCCATCTAGTCCTGAGATTTACACAACACTGCCAGACAGCACAGCAAGTTGGTGACAAACTGACTGTTCTCTACTGCATTAAACCAATACAGACTGGTTACCTCGCTGCCTCGGGCCTGTGAGTGGACAATAAAAGAAAAGTAGCACACTTTAACAAGTACATTCCTCTACTCTCTCCTATCAACATTTTCATTGCCAGTACATGCCCAATTGGCTCCTGGAGCTGGCCCTCTCTCTCTCTTCCAGTGTGACTACTGCTGTACAAGGGATTACAACAATCAATTTCAGGTATGTTTATTATGATAACATAACAGAATTAATAGGCATTCATTATATCTCCCCGGAGTTCAGTTTTGAAGTTCCACATGAACTGAGTTCTCTCAGCCTTGACATCTCTATTTGGAAAGAAGATATCACTTATATTTGTATCACCTTCATATTACATCTTTATTTGGCAGAGAAAAATACATTATGTTCTGCTCATGTGGTCATGCAGCGAGTCCTAATTATTCAAGCTGATCTCAACACAGCATGAGCGACAGAGGCAAACCATTACATCCATTATTTTTAGGGATAAGCAAGTTCAGAGGAGAAAGAATTAAAATCAAAGAGGAGGAAGGATTCCTCTAGATAGTCCATCAAGCAAAAATATGTCCAATATATATCCAAGATTATAAAGATGCACCACCAGCCTCCATAGTTCTAAGCTGAAGGGATGTATACAGTGTTCTTCCATCATGTCTCAGTTACAATCGGGGTAAATTCTCAATTAAGAGTTGGCAGGAGTTTCAAATTTTTAGCTTTTTTCTGGTCGGTTGCGATTAAGGACAGCTTTGGGTGTAAATTCCATTTTCTCCTTCAAACTGGTGACTTGAGTGAGATCCCGTCCTGCAGCCTCCTGTAAGACTCTTTCCTCTCTTTTCTCTAGAATGCTCTGTTCTTCTATAGTCTTTTGTGGGGTCCCACGAATAAACCATTCCAAATTATATCCCACTGCTCCCACCACAAGTGCAAATGGGAAGGTAATGTATGGAGCATACGTCCTTGCTACAGTTAGTAACAGAGGCCACATAATGGCTCAGATAATTGCAAAGCTACTGTTGTAGGAAGAGAGCTTTGGGAGACAACCTGCAGTGATCAGGATGAGAGAAATGTTTAAGATTAGCATACAACAATATTATAACACTTTGAAACAAAACTGTTAGGCATGTCTAAATGATGTTAGTTTTAATAATAATCACATGTAAAAGAGCTCATCAGAACTTAAAAAATATTTAAAATAAATATTTGTAGACTTTGGGTGTGCTACATACCCCCCAAAAAAGGTTACCAACATAAGTAGGTCATACGTAGCATGTGCTATCCATCACGGGACCAAAGGGATGAAGAGGAGGAAGTCTGCAGGAGGGAGGAATAAGGCAAGTTTATCGCCTTGTTGAAAGGGCTACTTGTTTGGTTGCAGGCTGGCTGGCAGGCTGAGGCTGGGGAATTTTTGTGTTTTGTAAGTTTATCGCCTTATTCATCATTCCCTAAGCAAAATGAGCATCTAAACCTTGCAGTAGGGAGGGTAAATCTTTTTTTCTCCACTGGAGTTCAGCTTTATCAGAAGTGAGGGCTATCCTGCTTTTTTCTTTATCAATAGATAGCATTGTCATGTTCCTTCACTATGTGATCTAGTTAGAGCCTACACAAGGCTGAAAACTCCCTTTCTGCCCTCACTTAAAATGGCTGGGCCAACCACAAACATGACAGACCACCTTAGCTCTCCCATTTTGTCTCTAAGGGGCTTGTCACACGTTCGCATTGGAGTTCAGGCGTCAGTAGAACATTGAATGTAAACACTGCCCAGTGCAACAGAGAGCAGGGCAGCAGAAGATGAGACCATGCTGCATCTCAGTTCTGATTTTTTTTGTATAATAGCTAAGGGGGGCTGTGGCAAGCTGTATAGGGCCCTGATGCCCAACCCGTCAGCCCAGTGGCCAAATGTGGTCCTTTGGCATTAATTGTATGTCTGTAATCTGTGTATTTCCTACCTAGTTGTACAATAAAGTAGTCTGTTTTTTTTACCTTATTCTTTAGATACTGTGGCACTGAGGGCAAATCTGGTACAAGTAGTTTTGAAGGGGTTGTAGGGAGCACAAATGTGGCAGCACAGGGTTTTGAATACAAAGGTACACCTGTCAGTTTTAAGGATGCAATAGTGGTGGATGGCACAGCGTGGTTCTCTCTCAACAAATCACTGAGATCCCTGGCTTAGATTAGATGATCAGGTCTGCAAGCTTCATTCACACAGCAATAATGTGCCATCTGGGGCAAGAATCCACCAGATCCCTGTAGCTGGATACAGTAGTGAATAGATGAGGCTGCTAAATCTGTATAAACCAATGACAGACTGATAACGGCTGCAGCTGTCTGCTGGTGTTCTGATGTAATTGCATATGGAGTGATCACCTGTCCCTAACCGCACCACATGTGACTACATCAGAACACCGACGGACAGATGCGGCCACTATCAGCCGGTCATTGCTTTGTACAGGCTCAGCAGCCACAACTATCTGCCTCTACCTGTGAATTCAGACAATACATTGGCACATTTTTGCCCTGTCATTGAAGCCTTAGAAGCTGAAACACAATTGAGACAATTAAATGTGGAATATAACATGGGTGCAAAAATGGAAAAAAGGGCCTCAGTCATGAAGGGGTTAAAGAGCATTGGGGAGCAGGAAGCAGTCAAAGCTGATAGAGGATAAACCGTTTTCAGCCTTGGAATCCCAACTAAAGTAAACAATGTTTCAGCATACTGAACAACGTGCATGGAAGGTACAAAGAAAAGTGAAAGCCAAACCAAGTAGACGGTTCTGTTTTCAATCAATGTGAAAAGTATTTTCAGGTGTGTTGTCTGAGTTTTGTCTAGCGGCAGTCAGAGTGACACAGATGGACAAAGAAGTATCAGGTTATGGAGCAGGCACAGCAGTGTGAGCGTTGTCCTTCCGTCCTGTGACCTCCGGCCATGTCCACAAAGTGCTCTGTACAATATAACTCAACTGGGTAAAGTAATGTTCAGCCTTGCTTACCTAAGTGACATTGAACACGGCTCACGTTCACTTCCCGTCCGCTAGAGGAACCCGGAAGTGATGTCGGCGTAGAAAAGGAAGTGGGCGGAGTATACACGTACTGCGCTGAGAGCCCGGTGTTCTATCGAAAACTCCAACTCGTCGAAAGCTCCAACTACCGGGTACTTGTAAGTTGGAGGGTTCGACGAATTGGAGCTTTCGATAGAACTCCGGGAAAAACTAAAGGAGAACCCCTATCAGCATTACAGCGTCACTGCTGCGGGGTAACCAGGGGAGGGTTGCATCGTCACGGTGACATGGAGGTGCTGGTAGACCGAGGGTGCAGAGTGAGGGGACCTGGATGAGGTGATGCTAGGTGATCAAACAGTGTCAGCACATGGCTACTGGGTGATAGGTGCAGTGTCAGTGTTACAGGCTGGTATAAGGAGGCAGGGTGAGGGAAGTAAGATGAGGGTGAGGTTTCCCCTTTGCCATTACCATGGGTTTGACATTTACCTTCCTGTCAAATTTATGTGCAGATTAATCCCAGAGATTGTTTTATAGGCAGATCGTACTTGCGATGATCGCAAGCCCGCCCCGCTGAGGGGCGGGCTTCTGATGACCGCAATGCCGAACGGGCAGTGTGCGCATGCGCACACCAGCCCGTCCGGCTTTTATACTACGAACATGCTACACACCGCCGAAAATCGTACGATTCTCGGCGGGTTTTCGAACAGGTTCGTAAGATAAAAGTCGTGCAACCTTAGGCCCCGTTCACACTGAGTGATTTATCGCGCGGATTACACGGATATTTACAGCGCGATATCGCTCTCCAATACATCTCAATGGGGCTCTGTCTGTCGCGGGTCGTGCTTCGCTACAGCAGGACCCTTTTTGGATCAGATTTTGCCGCGATTCTAGTCTTTTCAATGCAAGCTCAGTGTGAATGGGGCCTTACAGTAGTAGAGGTCGCACGGCTTCCACACACCTTACGATAATCGTACGATCGCGGGGTTTCCTGCGATTATAGTACGACTGTCGCAAGGTGTGTGGGCACCTTTAGTGTGTTGGAAGATGTTGTAGGGAAAGCAAACAAAGTGCATTGAAAGAAATTAGAAATCGTCTCTTCATTCTGATTGCTAGCTCTTTGGGCAATCCAACCCTTTGATGCCTTTTTTAATGTTGTGTCCTTATTGTTGGGGGGCTTTATTTCTATTTTATTTTGTGGTTGGTTTGAGGTCAGCCATCACTCCAGCTGCTGCCCTGTTCATAGCAATCGAGCCGGCTGTCAATTAGAAGTGTGTCCAACCCACCTCCCTGACATGGCTAAAGGATATTAGTGTGCAGAGGCATGCTGAGGAGGCCCTCAACGGTGTGCCCGAGCTCCTACCTGATGGTTCCTATGGTACACTTTTCAGCCCACAGGACAGAAGCACCACATGTCCTGCAAGAGGATCTGGTGTTCCCTGCCACTATACCACCCAGTCAGAACAGATAGAGCCGGAGGAATAACCTTGCTATGTTAGTGTAAGTTCCACATGTCTTCTGCATACTACTCATCTAGCTGAAGTGTGTGAATTGGTGCGGGTCTGAGGTCTGTCTGTTGGCCTGGGATTTGCAGTGTGTTGGTGCTGGTCCGAGGTCTGCAGGGCATGTGTGCTGCTCTGAGGTCTGCTGTTCAAAGTATGCACTGGTACTGGTCTAAGGTCAGCTGAAAGCAACATCCTACAGCCAGACATAGCACAACTGAGCCATGAAATAAAGACACAGGGATCACACTAAAGCACGTGCAAGTATGTACATGTTTTGTGTGCGCAGCAGTTATTCAATTTTTTTCACTTATAGTTGTGCTGCTCATTGCAAGGTAAACACATTAAATTGTGAGTTTACCTTACTATTAGCAGTACAACTATGAGTACAGACATTGAAATGTACCTCACACTACGGCATGCTATTGTTCACTGGCACCCGGTTGTCTGATGTTCAAAAATGGGACTTCGTGTGCTGACCCCTGGTCTAAGTGGTTTAAGATTAGTCTGAATTCACAGTTTTAAAAACATGCAAACAGATGGCTTTTTATGGCAGAAGAGGCTCTGCATATCTCTTCATTATAGGCCCTGCAACAAACTAACTCGTGCATATGCAGAAGTTACGTCATTTTGCCAAATCTTGACGGCTGCAGACTTCAGAACCCAAATAGATGGCTGTAATAAGGGAGAATTCCACAGTCAGATACCTGAACATTATTGCAAGAGCTCCAGGGTGATCTGAAATTGATGGTTTAATAAAATTAAGTTTATTTACACTTTTTTTTTAAAATAACTTTCTTCCTTCAGATATATGGTGAAGGGATGGCAATTAGCCTTTTCATATATGACTATGCTAACTTCTATCACAATACCTAACCTATATAAAGCCAACAGCTACTTTGTAGTCAGAAGCAAAGCCTTGATTGGCCAAATACCTTCCGTATTGGCTGAAGCCTCTCACTTTAGTTTTCTAAGAGCAAGTGTTTCTGTAAATCACACTGCCACCTCCTGGCAGAAATCGGTATATCAGCTCTGATCACACATTTAGGTGTCTCAATTCTGACTTTGCCAAGCTGTCAGTCTACAAAATGGGCAGCCGTTCAGATTTAGTTTTACTCTAAGGCAGGGGTCTCAAACCTCCGGCCCTCCAGCTGTGGTGGAACTACAAATCCCATGAGACATTGCAAGATTCTCACAGCTACAGACATGACTCCTGAAGAGAGATGCATCATGGGATTTGTAGTTTCACCACAGCTGGAGGGCCGGAGTTTTGAGACCCCTTCTCTAAGCATTTAGAGAAGATCTGTAAAGAAGAGTGTACCAAAATCCCTCCTGAGATGTGTGCAAACCTGGTAACCAACTACAAGAAATGTCTTACCTCTGTGCTTGCCAACAAGGGTTTCTCCACATAGTACTAAGTCCTGTTTTGCTTGGGGATCAAATACTTATTTTATTCACTGAACTTATAACATTTGTATCATGTGTTTTTCCTGGATTTTTGGTTGATATTCTGTCTCTATCATTTAAAATACACCTATGATAAAAGTTATAGACCTTTCATTTCTATGTAAGTGAGCAAACTTACAAAATCTGCAGGGGTTCAAATCATTATTTTCCTCACTGTATGTGTTAATGTTTTTTTAATGTGCAGGTTAATATGTGCGAGTTTTATTGAGTGTATAAATGTTTGAATATGTGCATTTCCCTATTTTGCCTAAGGCGGTGATGCTGAATGTTTTTCAAACAAACAATATTGGCACTTTGAGATAGATTTTTGCATTGCAGTTTGGCTCAAAAACATTCGCCATCACTGTTCTAGGTGGTAGAGAAGTCTATAGAGATTATATAAAGACCATGTTCTGCACAGAAACTAAGTGGATCTTCAATATGAACACTTTGATGCCATGGGGACTAAATGTAGAACTAGAATGGCTTGCTTCCACCTAATGTCTATAGTTTGGATCAAGTTATACTTTTTTTTTTAACAATATAATGCCAACATTTATTTCACCAGCCTACTAAAACACTGCAATAGTGTCAGCAGCTACTGCAGACACATTCTTCAACTTCCATACCTCACATGCTTTTCCATTTGTTTTTCTGTACTTGCAGTGGGTTTGAAGAGACTCATCATGGGGTAATGTGCATATACTAGGAGGTATGAATTGCAGGCCAACTTATCTTTAGGCCACTATTTTAGTAAGTCACTAACCAAGAATTCAAACACTTGTTCTAGGCCACCATCTCCCCAGGTAGAGGAAGGTTACAGATTACAGCTCTCTAGCGCGCACACACACACACACACAAAATCAAAAGTGATCCTGCAAAAACAGCTCCCCTATTTCAGCTCCAATAATTAATAATAGAAAAGCCAAACTGGTTTTAACCCAAGAACAAAGGCCTTTTTTTTTTTGCACCCATTGTTATAATTCACATTTTACTTAAAACGCCCAAATATTATATATTTTCTGAAAGCAGAGACCCTATAGAATATGGTGGCAGTTGCACATTTTTATGTTGCACGATATTAGTGTAACTCCTTATCAAACCCCAAAATTGTGATAAGTGCAGTTAAAATTTAGTGCCCCAAAACTATAGAAAAACACTTTCTTTTTAAATAAAATATAAGATGAGGTTACAGCAAGTAAATAAGATACCCAACAGGCCCAGGTTAAAAAATTGTGTGTCCGTGAAACTGCGACTTCAGTACACCAAAAAGTCCATAAACAACGCTTTAATAGCCACCCACAGGTCATCAGTTTAGAGATGCGTAAATATTGGCCCTAGAATTATTGCTCTCACTCTGGCATGCCCGGCGATACCAAACATGTGTAGCGCGATCGTCATTTTCATACCTCACTTCACGTGACACGTGTTTACGTGATGCGCGTGCTCATTGGGGCAGGGGACTTCAAAAAAAAAAAAATCATTTTTTTTTCTTCTGCGTGCCCGCTAGGGGGCGCACGCGAGCAGAAAAAAATTGCTGCAGTGCCGTCCGTCCGTTTTTTTACTACGGGCGGACGGCAAGAGGTTAATATGCGATCACATGGGGGGAGGGGCTTACCAGCCCCCATGTGATAGCATATTAGCAGTGACAGGTACTCTTTAAGGTCATACTGGGGGGTCCAAAAGACCTCTAGTATTACCTTAACACTCATAATAAGCTATTGAAGTGCAGATCGCAGGAGCCCAGTAATGGCAGCTATGGAACCGGAAGTGATGCAATCTGCATTGCTCCGGTCACATAGTACGGGGAGTAAATTGGTGAATGGATGTTTGCCGCTTTCCGCCCCAGTTTCCTGCCGACACCCGGCAAGCTGGTCCTGGGCCCGTAGGAGGGTCAGCGCAGCCCAAGAAACAAGGCGGGGCGGCCCGGTTACCAGATACTAGAAGCGATCTAGCGGCAGCTGAGCCTGCCACTACAAAACTGAAGACTCCCGGCAAGTCTATTTAACCCCTTCAAACTTTGTGACGGGATTATCCCGTCATGGGTCATGAAGGGGTTAAGACCTACATTTAGCTATGACCCCTCCACTACCACAATCCCGATAAAGTGAACTGGTAAAAAGGACCCCTAAAAGTTTAATTCTTGCCAGCACTGAAGCCTGTGTCTGCCATGACAGTTATTTTATGAACGGAGCCTGACATAATTTAGTGTTCCCCTCAGTCACTATTGTAATAGATCATAATGACTGCAGCACTTTTTATACCTGCCCAAAAGGAAAATTGTGAAACAAGTGAGAGGAATCATATTTTAAACCAGGGGTACACAAACTCTGGCCCTCCAGCTGCGGTAAAACAACACAAATCCCATCATGCATTTGTCTCTTGGAATGCCTGTGAGAATCTTGCAATGCCTCATGGAATTTGTAGTTCCACAACAGGAGGGCCAGCATTTGGCCACCTCTGCTTGATACCAAGACTACGCAAATAAGAAGTGCCTTAAGAAACCTGACAGATTCACAGTACATCTGAGCGTACCATGGTGACATAGTAAGCGGTCCAAGAAAATTATTTTGCTTTTCATATTTTGGAATGGCGGGGCTTAGAGTTGGTGGTGTCAAGAAAAGCTGCATATTTAGATCAGGAACACAGAGACACACACTATTAGGCTGGAGTCATCTAAAAACCATCCTTTTACTTCTTCCAATAACTCAAACAATTACCTTTTGTATCACTTGCTCCTCCCACTAGATTGTAAGCCCTCATGAACAGGGGCCTCCTAACCCTATTGTACTGAAATTGTATTGTAACTGTAATGTCACCTTCATTTTTTAAAACGTTGCTCAAATTGTTGGAGCTATATAAATCCTATATAATAATCTAAAAAAGGGTCCATCAATGTTGTCATCCAAGATTCATACATTTCTACAACTGAATTTTGGATGAAAAAACAAGATCCCTAAATCTCCAACTATTAAAACAACTTGACACCGATTTTATATAAAGTGTTTATTTGAAGTCAACCTTACTGACAATATTTTTTTTCTCTGAATGTTCTGCAAGGGAAAAGAAAAATGAACTTCACATAAATGAACAGTAAAACGATTCCTGTTGATCACCACAGGAACTCACAATACCTCAACTGGAAATGTTTGAAGAAAATAAAAGTCCATTTAAATTAACACAAAGGCAAAATAAGGCTCTTATGATTGTATACATGTCAATTAAAAGCATAAACTAGTTTAAGAAAACCCATGTAATTTACATTTTATACACTTCTTTGCAGGTCCTTAAAATGTCCCTTATGTAATGTATCACAGATACATTTAGAATCATAAATTGTTAGTGCACCACGAAAGATTTCAAAATGACAGAAGGGGACAAAAAGCAACCGAATGATACTGGTGCAACATTTTCTTCTTGGTTCATCTTCTGGTGATTGCAAAACACTGTTAGTTTTGCTTGTCACCTTTTAGAGCTTGCAGTCTCTCCAGCAGGGGAGGATGAGAGTAATGCCACATTGAAAACATCCAATCTGATACGGGGAACCCTAAATTATCCTTATTTAGCTTAATTAGGGCAGAATACAAATCTTTGGCTTTTCCCAGATTCTTAGCAAATGCATCAGCTTGAAACTCAAACCTCCGGCTCAGCACAGTCAGACAAAACGAAAGCACCTAGGAGAAAGAAAATAAAATGTAAAAAAAGACAAATCTAATATGGTTCAGTACACAAGATGACTGGCCAAAGGCAGATTTTAGTAGCACAGGTGCAATGGGAGATCTAACCAATGTTCTGATAGTCACACCATTTTAATCTGACTGATCCACATACAATGTTAGTTAATTCCAGGCAAAATAGTTTGAAATCTAGGAGCAGTTTTATCTGCCAATTTTTGTAATTAAATAGACCATTGCCAGACAGCACAGACAGGAAGCAGACTCCAGTTGTACGGTTAAAGATAAGAAATACAATTGAGTCTCCCTCTTCTGCAATCCAGTGAACAATGAAAAGGAGCAGCAACATGTTGATAAATCATTAACACTTCTCACTCTTCCTTCTGAGGAGGGTGGATAAGAGTTACCTTTCCGAAAGCCCCCCCAATTCCTCCAGCATCTTAAATTATGAATGGCATAGCCATGGCTAGGCACGGTTATCAAGAAGGGTATCCCAGATTCATCTACACTGATGCAATAAAAAAAAAAAGCTGGTGCTAAAATGTTGATATCTTTATGAATGAGCATTCTGCAATACCTCATTGTATGGAGAAAAGATGAACTGAAATATGATCATCAGGCCTATGAGAGTGGGTTGTGCTGTGTGAAATCCAAATGCAGCAAAAAGTTCTTTTCGACCACTGAGCACAGCAAATAAGGAAAAACAGAGAAAAGAATTCATCTGATGGATAGAAAAGAGAAAATAAGTTACACATCAAAACAATAGCTACATATAAAAATGTACATTTAATATACAATGTAAATGCTTTACAGTTAGAAATTATTCTGTTGTAGATGCATTGCAGAACTGTAGGTTCCAGATCGATTTAGGTCAGACAGCCTGTTTCAGGATTCACAATTTATTTTGCGACAGATGGGGACGGTTTAACATCTTTTTACTGTATGTTACATCAAGCCCATGTGCTCTAGTCATGTAGCAGCTGACAGAGGCGCCCCTGCTCTAGACTGTTGGCATTCTAAATCAAATATAGGGGTGGGCCTTGGTCCCGCCCCATAAAAAGGCAAAAACAGAATTTGCGGATAAAGACCCTAGAACACTAGGGCTCCCAGGTTGCAGATTACTGGCATCAGTTCTATCACAGCTGGATTGTCCTCTATGTGTCTTTGAGAAGACATGTTGCTTCATGTGGTGGTCAGCAACTAGGCCTAATGTCAGACAAGGTCTCCAGTACTCACAGACCTGAGCAGCTAGTGCCAATGAAGGTTTCAGGTGGCTGGAGAAGACCGAGTCCCTGAAGGCAGACAGTGGAATGAAACCCAGGACCACAGAGCCACTTGGGCTTACTAAAGTAGCAGCAGGATGGTGCTTCCCGTTGACTAAATGGCAGCCTGTAGGTTAAAAGTGTCCAACCTTCAAAAGCACTTCCAAAAGACTGGAGGCATGATTGTTAGAGGTTGGGGATTTCCAGTGCCCAGCCTTTATAAAGAGAACTATGGGCCAACTTTTTTTTTTTTTTTTTTTTTTAACATAGTTCTCTTTAGGGTCACAAGAGGACATACTGTATATGTCCTTCTGTGACACAAAAGTGAGCATATAGCAGGCTATTGCTCGCTATAAGCCGACAGCACAGAGCTGCAGCCGTGACACATTCCAGCAATATTGTCAGGATCCACCCCACTGCCTGATTGACAGCTGCCTCTGTCGAAGAGACAGTCAGCACTGGAAGAATGGAGATGAGAGAGGGGATCCCGGCAGGGAGCGGTGACTGACAGTCACCATCCTCTGCATAAAGAAGATCAGCAGTATGTGATCACCCAGTTTCCGATCAATAGAGCCGATGTGTGACAGCTTCAGTGTCACACATCATTTTTAATTATGGGGGTGAGTGCACTACACTCACCGCACAATTCTCCTTTAACCTCTTGCCGTCCGCCCGTAGTAAAAAAACGGACAGACGGCACTGCTACATCTGCGGGTTGCCGTCTCCAGACGGCAATTTTTTTCTGCTCGCGCGCGCCCCCTAGCGGGCACGCACGGGCAGAAAAGACCCGACCATTAAACATACCGGTTACCGGGTGTTTCACATATAGGCGATCAGCGGGTCCATAGCCCGCCGATCGCCTATATGTGCTCGTTCGCGGGCCCCCCGCCCCTGACCCCTCACCTTGATTCCCGGGATCCGCTGCCCCATCTTGGATCCCGGGACCGGCTCCGAGGGCGTCTTCTGTTCCCAAAAAAATGGTATAAAATTCATTTCAGTACAGCGCTGCATGACGGAATAAATGTCAGTCAAAGTACCGCAGCGCTGAATACTGAAAAATGGCCTGGATGGGAAGGGGGTTTAACACCGCGGATGTCAACTGGTTAATGTTCTTTTGCCAGTGTCCAAAACTCCTGTAGGCAGTAGTATATAACCCAAATGTTTCAGAATTCCTGAAATCCTGTTGCCCACAGTGAAGAATGAAGACTCATTCTTCACTGTTATACTGTATTTTATATTTAACGATGAAAGACAAAAAGTCCAATATGCTGACTTGCTACTGTTAAATACAACCACTTAGAGTATTTCTTATGAAAGTAAATAAGTGGATCAGAACAGATCTTTAAAATATGAAAACAGCTGTGGTCAGCCCATTGCCAATAGTCTTCGTATGAAATAGCAAGCTAAATAAACCTGCCTATTAACCCCATCTCTGTTCAGGATGACTAAGAATACTACTCTTTTATACAGCTCATCCTGCAATTGATTGTATACCAGCAGCGGCGGAGGAGTAGGAAATGGGAAACACAGCAAGCATAGGAAAAAAAAAACCGGGAGAGGCAAAACTTAGTTTTTAGTTATTTGATTTTAGTAAATTTTACAATAACTTCATACCACAGTATATGAACATATGTTTCTTTTAAACATGAAATACTGCAATATGTATTTACCTGACTAATGACTATGTTCTTTACAGTGTGACCCAACTTCCAGTGGCCCAGTTCATGTCCCAGAACAGCCAGAACTTCAGGATTGTTGCAGCCTTGCTTCTTATTAGCATTCTAGATTTAGAAACAAATTCAAAAAGGTCAATAAGCCTTCAAAAAAGGTCAATAAGCCACTGAACTGAAGACGCAATAGAGCACCATGCTACTTATAAAACTTTGTAGGAGCAGCACTGCAGAAAAATCCTACCATTGCCTTTCCTATAGATAAAGTCAGTGGGATTTAAACCATAAAAAAAAAAAAATGTTCTCTCCTAGAAAACAACATAGTCCATATGGAAGCTGCAAATTCCTTAGTGTCCAATCTCCTACAGACATAGGATATACCCCAGAGGTAAACAAAAAAAAGAAGAATACTATAGGCTGCCATTGCCATTTGACTAGCTGTCATGGCCACACATTGCCGTGCGTTGTGATACGCTGTGTTGCGATTAAAATGTACACCTGTATTAAAAACACACACACGGTTCAAACGATTAACACTCAGTCGCTTATTTACAGTTTTGAGTTACTTCATTTTTTTAGTTTTACAAAAAGGGCACATTTTAAAATTATTATTAATTCAGTAGTTGTATCTTTTATATTTAGATGGAAAAGTATATTTTTTTGTGCACACAGATTTTAGTGTGCTTTTATTCATTTGTGTATTTTTATTAGTTAAATGTTTGACAAACATTTGCGCAATTATTGCAGGACCTACAAAATTAGCACTATCTTTTTATTCTGCTGGGCCTGTGCCTTCAGAAAATATATGGTTGGGGGGGAGCGGGGGGTTTGTTTACAAACGCTAGCACCTCAAAATTGCAAAAAATGGTGTGGCCAGCAGAGGTTAAAAGCATTTGAGGGCTTGGCAGCAAAAGGGTTAAAAGTTCAGCTGTTAGTAGTATGTAATGCAAAGTTCAATGATAATGATATGTAAAGCACAACGCAGGTGTCAGTAGCATGCAACGGTGCAGAGGTCAGGAGTAACTAGCACATCTCTCTCCTTTAACAAATAGTGACCAATCACTTTTTTTTTATATTCCTAGTTTAAGCCAGGCATGCACAACTAAATGGATTTTGAAACTGTTCTTGAATCAAACAGCCAAAAGCAACTTGGAATATTTACTTAAATCACGATTACCATGACTGAATATTCCAGGCAAACATCTCAGCATTTCATTTGTGCAAACCTAATTAGGTAATTTTTATTTTTAACCCACTTTGGCTTTGAACTTCACTTCAGCAGTTTCATTTTCTGAGGTTTCTTCTGTGCTGTCTTTGTTTAGTGGCGAGTAGTCCTCCAGAAGAGTGTCAAATAAAACAATTCGCTTGTTTTTAAAGAATCCATAAAAATATGCATTGCTGTGCGAGGACCGTTTTGAGCCTAGACAAGAGAGTAAAAATAAAACAAATCTCATATCCACACATGCATACTACATGAGCCTAGTAGAGCTGCAGCTAACGATTATTTTCAAAATCGATTAGTTAGCCGATTATTAAGTTCGATTAATCGGTCAATCGGATAAACAATAAAATACATTTTTTTTTAAATGGCTCCAGTGATGGACTACTACTTTGTATTGAGATTGCAGTCCATCACAGGAGCAAGCTTGGAGCGGTGGAAGTAAAAAAGAAAAAAAAAAAAAAGTGTGGTGTGCAATATAGTGAAAAATGGAAAGTGTAAAATGATACAGCAATGAATGCAGAATGGCAACGGCTATAGAGGACTACAAATCCCAGCAATAGTACATCATACAGCGCAATGCAGAATATCACCAGCTATAGAGGAGCACAACAAATCCCAGCAATAGTACATTATAGCTGGCGGTATTCTGCATTGCGCTGTATAATGTGCTATTGCTGGGTTTTGTAGTCCTCTATAGCTAGTGGTATTCGGCATTGCACCACTGTATAATATACTATTGCTGGGATTTGTTGTACTCCTCTATAGCTTGTGGTATTCCGCATTGCGCTGTATAATGTATTATTGCTGGGATTTGTAGTCCTCTATGCAGCGCAGAATATCACCAACTATAGAGGAGTACAACAAATCCCAGCAATACATTATACATACAGTGTGTAATGTATTGCTGGCATTTGTATAATATACAGCACAATGTACCATCAGCTCTAGAGGAATACAAATCCCAGCAATACATTATAGAGCACCATGTGTGGGAAAGTGCAGGCTTACCTGAGCAGTCTTCCAGCAACTTGCTTTTGAGATCGGGCCTGTCTATCGGCGGCTGTCATCCCCCCACACCTCCTCCTCCTTACTACATCTCCCCGCATCCCTGTGCCGATCGTGGATGTGGGCGGGAGGCGAGTGTGGGGCGGGAAGGAGGTGCGGCGTGTAGAGCGTGGATGCGGGCGGGTCTGGCAGCGGTGAGCGTGAGTTGGGGAGGAGGTGCAGCACGTGTGCAGCCGTGAACAGGGCCAACTGATCGGAAGCCGATCGATTATTGAAAAAGTTGACAACTTTTTCAATAATCGATTATGTTGATTAGTTGTTGCAGCCCTAGAGCCTAGTATGAAAATCTCCCTCTCTTGCCACAGAGGAAACATGTAGCGCAAAGGACTGGACCCAGTTTTATTACTGGTGATCCTACTATCAGCATGTATGAAGGTATGTTGCCCATGTGGAATGCTACATTGTATGTAGGGATACTACAATTCCAGACAAGTTGGTGGTATATTACAGGTTGGAATTCTTATCAACTGCTGAGCTGATACAACAGCTTCATTGTTTTAAGTCACAAACAAGGAACAAGCAGGCACATCTGGATAGCAGTGCAAAGTTAGAACTACAAATCGGCATACTTGTTCCGGGTCAGTTATAACCTTGTGGTCATTTTAAAAACTGGAGGCAAGTAAAGATGGTATATTTCATCCAAATACAGGCTCTCTTTAATGGCGTTCATTTGCAAAACACCATATATGGCCACTAGCATGTTCCAAGGCTGGGCAATAATACAGTTCACAGACTGATACCTAACCATGTGACACCACGTAATCTGTTACAGCGGAGGGTGTGTCACAGAATAGGCAAAGATCACATCAAGAATAATCGACACCAAGACATTTCTCTCTACACATCCATCAGGACCTGTTAAACTGTAGTTTGCAAAGTGATGGCTTCCTTTGATCTAATCTGAGAGATTTTCAAAAATTGGAAATTATATGTGTGCAACGTCAAGTACCCTAGATGGTCCCACCCTTACATCAAGCCATCCATTCCGCACTGAACAGAGCTGTAAAGAACTACCTGGAAGAGCTTTAAGAAAAAAAAAACCCAATACTATTTTCTGCTATAATATGTGACAGCAGACATCACAGGGAGCCCAAAGATAGATTTATAATGCTACAAACTGTGGCCCTACATGTGTAGGGATCCTCAGATCAATACCTGGTATAGTATTCAAAAACTAGATGCTTCCTCCCTACATCATTGCCTCCCAAAAGGAAAAAAAAATTTTTTAAAAAAAGGGAAGGTCAGCAGAAAACTATGGGGATTTCTGGGATATAATGTCTGTCTTATTAGAAGTAGTATGTGTAGGCATTATTTATACCATACGTCACACCACAAGAGAATTGTGTTCAATGTGAGGATGGGGGTTCACCTCACCGAAAAACCATGAAGGCGTCTTAGCGGTTGGGAAGAGTTTGTAAACAATACATCTGTATTACAATCTAGCAGTGACATTATAATATGGCTTTGTACATTGCTACTTACCTTCAACAACATAAACTTTGGTCAGTGGGAAGAAAATACTTCTTGCCATTGTTTCAATAGCATCCTTTAATTCTCCTTCAGGAAGTGGGGTGAACTTATCAAACAAGGGTGCAATATAATCTGCATATATTGTCACAAGTACCTAAAATAAGGATATCAATAGATAAATCCTGCAGATCAAAAGATACTAAAATAACAGGAAATAAAAATCAACATATCCTTACCAGAGACACCACCAGAGTGAAGAGCCATGCATAGACAAAGAAGTAGTCACCACCCATCTTGATTATATACAGCAAGAGAGATGTAACTGGGAGAAGAATGCACTGCGTGACCAAGAATTTCTTTATGGCATCCTTGAAGAAGAACCCTGGGGTCTGGATATACAAATAATACAAATCTTAACATTGGTTGTTACAAGAGTCATTACTAAAATAAAACATTGCATTAAGGGGAAATTAAGATTTTTTTTTTTCTCGTGCAGTAATAAAAGTTCTCACATACGGAAACTAAAGGGTGTCCAAATATATATAGCGCAACTTTTTTTAATACCATGTCCTCTGGTGATCCAAAACTTAGTATATAGCAAGCTATTGCCCACTATATGCTGAGAGTGCAAGGCCTCTCCACAGCTGGGATGGATACCGACACTACTGTTGAGATCCATCCCGCTGGCTGATTGACAGCTAGCTTTGCCTCTCTAGAGGCAGAGCCAGCTGTGCCCACCCCCTCCCCTTCAAGGAGGGGGGAATCTCTGAGGGGAGCAGTGACTGACAGTCACTGCCCTCTGCAGGGAGAGGATCGGGAAGTCGGCGATTGGCAGTGTGTGTTCGCAGACTTCCTGCTCAAAAGAGCTGACCTGTGACAGCTTTTGTCACAGGTCGGCTTGAATTCCAGGGATGATTATTTTTCTCTCACCCCATAATTCTCCTCAAGTGTTACTTGTCTTGTCTGCTCTGTCTGTCCAGACCATGACTATGTTGACAACAGGACAGCAGACAACTGACTTACCGGTAGAGTTATAAGCTGACCATACACCTTGCGATTATTGTTCGATTTCTTTCGAGCGGTCATCAAACTAATTAGACTTCCCCTCGAGTACCACATCATACACCGACCAATGTCATTTTGATGCTAGTTTGTTAGCAATACTAACTCACAGAATTGCGTCAAATCGGCAGAACGGATTTTCGTTTGCGCATGAGCAGGGTTCATGTTGTGCCACTAATCCATCGATTTTCGTTTGGTTTGAAAAAGTTTTCCAGCCTGACCGATCAAGGAAATTCGACCAGAAGTACAGAAAAAAAATACATAAATCGTTGGGTTCCCATCAACTGATTGCTTATCGTACGAAAGGCCATGAGTGGACGATTTCCAAACGATAAAGTGATAGGTGTAAAGGGCACCTTTACAATATACACTGAACAATCCAAAATACCCATTCCTGTAGACCAAGAATCCAAACTGTTTACCCGTAGCCTGAGGGGCAATGTACATTTTAAAAGCTGCGAGAATACATATTTAGCATCAAAATACAAAATGAAGCACCGGTGATAAATAAAAACAAACATTCAATTATAAAAGTTTGAGTATACACCAAGCATTACCTGTTGGTTAAAGCCATGCCTTTCTTCAATAACAAAGGTACTGTATAAGCTCCATGGAAGTCCAGTCACAGTACTGAACAGAGTGGCAAGTAACAGGAATACCAGTGACTGAGTAATCTAAAGAGACAGAAGCTTGCAATCATTTTTTTCTCATCACAATCAAAAGCAAACACTGTACTGCAGAATATTACAAGTAAAAGGATCAGTATTCAATCCACCTCTGTGTACTGTAATCTTATTGACTGATCCCAAGGGCAAGTTTACTTTACAGTATTTTGGAGGTGTCTGCGGTAGTCTACCACATGAACAATGGGCACCATCAAAAAACACATTTACCAGTGGCCAACAATGTTCTGATGAATTCCAGGAGTATAACTGCTGTTAGACAAGGCATTATTGTTACCATTCACAGCAATATCAGGAAAGCAGCACTTTTATTACACAACTATAACTATACCCAAAATGCCATCTTATCTTTAGATAACAGCACTTAAAACATAAGGATTTAAAAAACAAAAAAAACCCCACACACAAACCCCAAAAAACTAATTTTAAACCTACCTCATACTCTGGAGTGAAGCCTGCACGAACCAGTATATGTTCTGATACACTCCAAAGGAAAGGGATGCCTCCTAAAACAAGGATGAGCTGCACAAAAAGGGAACAAGGTTGAAAAAAGGTACAATATAGGAGTAGCTACATCTACTAGTATATACCTACCAACACTGTTGTGGATCTTAGTGTATAATTTACCAGATTACCAAACAATCATAATAAATTTATAGTAACAATTGAAATTAAGGTGGATTCAGCCTTTTGTTATCTCCTGTACAGTAGAACTAAAACCATACCAACAGGAGGAAAGAGCCTGATCATAATGAACAGGCTGAAACACCAAGGTATAGCTGCAGCTGTTCATAGAGACTGACTTCTCTCGGAATCTGATATGGGCAGTAACAACCAGGAATCAAGTTTTGATTCAGGTTACCCCCACCTGTGTCATAAGTATGCGACGCTGGTTTGCAATTCCCACTTGTAGCAAACAGAGAAGGTGGCCACACATCAATGACAGCAGCAGTGACAGAGCTTTAGTGTTCCAGACAAACTCAAGAGGTTTGCCCAGACCCTCCTCACAGACACAGATCACTACCATTAGGCCCTTTGCAGGTTGAAACGCAGCAGAGCATAGAGCGAATGGACAGGTCCTTTGTGATCTTGACTGAAATACTAAAACTTGGTTATAGCCGTCATTGAGTGTGTCTTCAACATCCTTGTTTCCTCAAAACAAGCTGCTAGCAGGCTTCAGTAACATTCAGCATATCTTTACCGCTTTGAGAGCCTGCTAGCAGCTTATTTAACGTGACAGTCAGCATTCTCATTGAGATCCGTGTTTAACATTTCCCATACTGGAACTAAGTGTCTTTAAAGCTGAACTCTGGTTACAATAACCTTTCTGGAGTACAATAGGATCCCTTTTCTAAAAGCCCACCAGCCATGTTCAGTAATGGCTTCTCCCCATGAGTTATATATGCAGCTAGAAGTCCAGCTCTTGACGAACCTTTGTGCCAGCTCGGGCTGTAGCGCTGCCAGTCTTGTAGACCTTAGAACTGCACCCACTCCTCCTGGCCAACTACTTAGCAAATATCCCTAGACTCTGTTTTTTGTCTGTGGTTAAAATTAATTAAAACTGCTCAATACTTGCCAAAAGCTTTACAAATGCTAAAAAGTGATAATGTAACCCTTCTGCAGCAGAACTCCTTTTTATGACATGAAAGTGGTACACCATGGAAACCAACAAAGAAACCCACTAGAATGCAACTCATGTGTATGAAAATGCATTTGAAATAAATTAAAAAAATAAAAAACTTACCGTGCCTTCTATTTCAGAGTATAATCCAGACCAAAAACTGAAAGTACTTTTATCAAGCTGATAAAGTCGAGATTTCTCAAACGTTTCTGGATCCATAATATTACCGAGTTCAGCAGGCACATGTGTTGTAGTTCCATAAACCTTTCTCTGAAACAGAAAATGTGCAACGCTCTATATTAGTAAAACAGCACATGAACCAGCCAACCATCTTATTACAATAACACAACACTACACAGATTACAACACATTCCTACAGCTTTCATAACAAGCCCTCATATCAGGGAATAACTAAGCCAATACAATGTGACAGACAAAATTAGTTAATTTTTTTAACATGACTTCATATTAAAATGGTTTCAACTGTAAAAGCTTCTACCTGTGGTGTGATTACATCCCATTTCAAACAATTTGACTTAACACAAAGTGTATACAAACGTTGCTCATGTGGTGTGCCCATTGAGCAGCCTCTGTCAAATATACGCACAGCTTTAAACAGACTCAACCAGGGTGCTTTATGGGTCTCAGGGGTGCCTTGAAATTTTCATACATCATGATGCCTTGCCTCTGTCCAGGCCTGCTCTGCCTCCAGGACTCCAATGTGAAGGAAAGACTCCCAATTATTTGTGTGGGGTCCCCCTTAAAATCTATTTCAGACTGGGCTGCCTCAAGATTTTGCATTATTTTTAAAGGGTGCCGCGACTGTAAAAAGGTCAAGAAATGCGGGCTTAAAAGCATCTCACCACTAGCTGTCAAGCTACTGTTCTGGAGTTTTAAAGAGGAACTTCACTCTTATCTTTAAAATACACACCTTTAGAAATGTTTCGTAATGACAAATCTACAAACACATACTTCTTGATAATTGCAGGCTTTTTATTCTTTGCATATCTTATTTTTTTTTCTTCCCCCGGCATTCTGACAGTGGCTATGTTTTCTAAGATTACTAAATCTTACCTGTACTTCCTGGATCTCTGGCACATGTGACCATGCACATCATCTCAGGGGAGGAAAATGCCTTTCCGAGATCTCATGAGATTACAGATGAGATGTCCAGGAAGGCTCTGCTGATGTAACCTTCCCAGGATGCAGTGCTTGGGTACATTACATCATTTGTGCCAGAACTGAACCAGGAAGTAGATGAACTCTATTTGTAAGTAAATGAAAAACAAGTTTGTTTACCTAATGAATGTAAGATGATTTGATATCAGAAAGCAGAACTGCAACCTGATGTGATTTTTAGTGAAAGGGGAGTAAAAGGTCCACTTAAAAAACATCCCGTCAGACAAAAACCAATATGGAGTAAGAGCAAAAAAATGAGATGAAGCGCCAACAATCCAACTTGCTAGAATGCAAAGATAAAAATGTATACCAAAGTTGCAGCGCTGGTCAAATAAACCCATTATTTAGGGAGGAGGCAAAATTCAAAAAAGGTAAAGCTACTGTAGGTCATTGATCCATTTTACAAAAGATGTAGGTGCAATGCTCTACCCAACTTCAACACCAAAGAGACATAGCCTTTTTAGAACTGCACTAAAAAAAGTTATGTTCCCATATAATGCTTACAGGATCGCTTCATAAATGCGACTGTAAATGCCAGCATCTCCAAAAGGATAGGATACATGCCAGTGACCCAGGAACGTGCAACTCCTGCTACCTTTGGTCTAGCAGACAGTAATTAGATATACAGACAAACACCATCAACTTTCCAGATGCAGGAAGCCAAACAAGCCAGGCTTGTCCGCACAAGTTAGGAAAAGCATTAGGAGTATAGTTTTCATTTACTGTGCAGCAATCTGAGGACCACTCTAAACTGTCAAATTTCAGTGTAGCTCAGAAGCATAGAAAGGATGGGGGACCACCAAAATCCACACACCTTTCTCAGTACAACAAAGGCTGACTTTCAGGCCTCCCTTTCCTGCAACTAGTCATTACTTGTCCTTAGGATCATTTAGCAACTACTTAGTATGGGGACATAACCAAACCAAATCAATTTATATCCAATCTGGAATGTCCTTACATCTTTGGCCCTAAATGGGATCCTTCTATCAGCTCTTATAGAGATCCATTTGGTGAGAATATCTTAAGTTCAATCAAAACCTTACCCCATCCTAAGCCCTTATGAAGGCGAAGTGTTGTTGCCCCCGAAACACGCTGTTTTTTGTTTGATCGCTCTTTGAACAATGGCAAGTTTGGACTCTTTCACCTTTTGGTATGGTGATCTTTATTTCTCAAGTCTCTGGTCTGGTTACCCTACAAAAAGGAGGCTTATCATGTTCCGGAGCTGCCTCAAAAGTGCGCTTGACAACTGTCCTGCATCTGGATGATTTGAGTGAGCACAATAATCCCAGCGACTGTGTTCCTTTGGCATCCAATAGAAAGTGACCACAACATGCAGGCACGGACGTAGACCAACAAGGACCCAAGCAGGCAGTAAACAGAAGAGGAGAAGACTCTAGGCTGCACTGCCATGTGACCACGGCTTAAGGTGAGTAAAAGAGCACTTTTAGACCCTAGAGTTTTTTTTAACATAGGGAACAGTGGGACATGGGGGGGGTAGGGGGATGTATCAAACAGTTGGGCTTTAAATGCAGATACACAGAACAATCTGTCCTTGCACTACCAACCTGTAAACACCTCCACGGCTTAAGGTGAGTAAAAGAGCACTTTTAGACCCTAGAGTTTTTTTTAACATAGGGAACAGTGGGACATGGGGGGGGTAGGGGGATGTATCAAACAGTTGGGCTTTAAATGCAGATACACAGAACAACAATCTGTCCTTGCACTACCAACCTGTAAACACATGCACAGTCAGACTTGGGGAGGAAACAGCAGCACTGTCAGACAATCAGGCTTTACGTTAATGCTCAGTGCTGTCAATCTGGCCATACGACTTTAGATTTCTCTTGTTCAACCCCACAAGCTGAAAAAGAGAAATCAATTGATACCGTCGTCCACACTCTCCAGACCAGATGTAGTGAAAGTAGTTATCTCCCCTGCCAACTATTGTATTCAGCACCTAGAGGGACCTGTGGTTGCTGAATACCTGAACAGTAACTGCACCCGGTTAGATGCAGTTATTATTCTACTGAGAATTTTGCACCTGGCAACTTCACGCTCAGCATATGGCCAGCTTAAATAGAGCATGCCAATTGGAGGAACGAGCAGATTACCTCATCAGTAATCTATTCTTACACTAGCCAATCACAACCGTGACCAGGCTATATTGGTGTAACTACAGTGGAGAAAAGAAAAAAGGACTGGATCCAGCTTTGGACTTATACAGAGGTGTCTGAGCTTAAAAAAAAAAAAAAAAAAAAAAACACACAACCTGAAGAGAATTAGATATTATAGGCAGATTACAAACACATTAACTGTTTGACATTTGCCTACAATTCAATTTAAAGTGACATTATAGGCAGTTTTTTCCTGTCCCCCCAATGTTAAGTAAAGCACTTACCTTAAATTAGGTCTCTTAATCCGATGATCTTTCCGGTCGTTTTCAGCCTTCTCTCCAGCGCTGCGGCGTGTGTCCTATCCAGCGCTGACGACTCTGTCCTTGCTGGCACTTCCTGTCCCACGTAGTCTGCATGCGGTAAGTTAAAAGCGCTTTCAAATAGTTTTTTTTTTTTTTTAAACTTTTCGCATATATCTACTGCTTCCTAGCAGTAGATATATGCAAAAACACCAGAGGGTTTAATAACACTTTAAGTGTAGGTTACAGGAAAAAATATATATCTTTGATTTTGGATAGAATGGGAAGGATTAGAAAAGAATTTTTTAATTTGGTATTTGCCCCCACTGGGTAGATTCTCCCTCTCTGACTTGGGATGGAAGGAGGAGTCTATTTATTTAATGTGGTTGATGTGTTTCCTGTTGCAGGCAGGCGGAGCCTATATCTCGATGGCTGTCCTGGAAGATGACTGGGGAAATGAAGTTTTTAATTTGGTATTTGCCCCCACTGGGTAGATTCTCCCTATATTTGCCCTGGCATGATCACTGCAAGGGTTAACTGCTTGTTTTGTTATACTCACCTGATCCTCCGAACCAGCTCCTCCTAGACCTGTTATTTCAGCCTCACTCCCCCACTACTCCAGTGGTCTAAGGACCCTTAGTCATCACGTCCAATACACTGGGTATTGGGCGTGTGGATGCCGAGGGACAAACCATCAGTGCAGTGGCAAAAACTGGCTGGAGGCAGCCGGCCTGCCGTGAGGTTCAACACCAGGAAAAAAGTGTATTTTCCTAAAGCAGAGTACCGGTAGAATAAAATAATGGCAGTTGCAGCAGTTTAGAAAAGCTACAGTTGTGTGAAAAAGAAAGTGAATTATATGGTTTTATGTATCAGAACACAATCTGGTCTTAAAATTAGGTAAATATAACCTCAGATGAACAACACGATATATTACACTGCGTCTCTATCTGTTTTACAAACAAAATCCAAAATGAAGAAGCCACACAACAGAATTGTTGAACAGAGTGTGGACTTAAAGCTGGAGTTTGAAGAAGGCAAAAAATACAAAAAGAAACCCTTGCAGTGGGGCTTCCCCAGCACTGCAAAGGTTAAATGCAAATTTTGGTCTAGGGGTACCAGTAAAATGATCTTTAACGTCTCGCTCCTGCAGGCTCCCTCCATGCTAAAAGACTGGTCCCGATAGTCTTTCTGGCAGTTCCAGACACTCGGACGTCATCAAGTATAATTCAGGACCTTGCACATGAGAACACAGAGGGACCAACCCAAAGCGTCAGGGAGAAGAGGAGAGCTGGGGAGCGAGGTATTAGGTAAACAAGTCCTTTTTCTGGTGCCCTAGGCATAACTGAGCACATCACCCCCCCCAGCAGCAAAAGGTAGAGATTGACTGCAGGGGTGTTTTTTTACTTTTCCCTGGAGTTGAGCTTTACGGCTGCTACTGTAGCAGTGAGCGTCTTTACATCCTGTTACTGCGGCACCGTAGTATTGAAAAAAAAAACAAAAGAGCAATGATCTATAGCTTACAACAAAATGCTTAAGGGGGGAGGCGCTGAAAGAAAACCTGAATGGAATAAGTATAGTGACCATCACCACCGTCCTTACCTTTCGTACTGATCCAATGGTTTCATTCACTGATCTGGAACTAGTGTGCAGATCATTCTCTGGGTTATTCCCAAAAGGGTGAAGAATTGGAGAAGGCAGGAGAAGTGAACAATCTAGGACAACATAGGTGAACTGGAAAGTGAGCTGAACGGGAGAATTATTTTCCAGGTCAGCTATGTTGTCCTAGATTGTTCACTTATCTTGTCTTCTCCAAACTCTTCACCCTTCTGTGAATAGACCTGTTAGACTTCCATTTGCTGCAAGATTGTTTCAGGTCAGCAAGTCAAAATGTACTTAAGTCAAGGAATCATCATTACCGCCAAGCAGCTAGCATTTTTAGAAGGTTTTATTTATTATACTCCATACATGTTTCATGTTTGCTCCAAGTCAGTGTTTCTGAATTTACTGGAGCCAGGAGACTAGCATTTTCAGACAGGTCACCAATGGCACTCTCGATACTGCGGTACGGGTTTCTTTTACAACATAAAACAGGACCCTATATCACTAAAGCAAATGGTTCCCCCACTGTGCGCGGACATGTTGCCTCTGCAAAAGGTAATGGCTTGGAATCAGACCACAAGACACCTCAGCATTTCCTATGACAGCCATTTACATGCAAAGAAAAGTACTTATCTCAAGTCCTATTGTGGGGAATCCTTACAACAAAGTTTTCCACTCACTGGTCACTCTACGAAATCTTACCACAGAGCCGATTCAAGCTAAGGAAAAAAGGAGTGCACCTCTAACTATACACTGCTGTATTCTCTAGATCTGACCCGACCAGGTGAGCAGCCTTTCATGCTTTTAGAATAGGAACTAGAGAATACAGTGGTATACATGTCAAAGTGCACCCCATTTTATTCCCCAGATTGTGACATCTCTCTGAATAACAGGACAGGAGGAATGGTTACAGGTTACAAGTAATGGAACGGCTCACTTTAAACTCCAGTAGTTTATAGGAATGGTTTCTTTTGTGCTGTTCCTCCCCAACCATAAAAGGTAACCAATACCATGGAGCTATTTTAATTCCTTGTGAGGATGATGACTGGTATATATCCGAATACCACAACCCCCCAGAGAGGGAAAATCGTATCAGACTATGCCTAGTAGTAACTGCAGAACATGGCACAACCACCTTACATGTGCCCTAGGCTGGCCTACATCTATCTCATAAAAATGAAAAACAAAAGCTTTGCCTTCAAATACACTTAACCCTTTCGCTGCCAAGCCCTCCAGAACACTTTACACTGGCCCCATCGTTTTGCTTTTCTATTGCTGTGTTGCTAGCATTTGTAAAAGACCCCCCAAACCATATTTTTTCTGAAAGCGCAGGCCCGGTTAAAAAGAAAAAAAAAGGGGCTACTAAATTTGTAGGCCCTGCAATAATTGCACAAATGTTTGTTAAATCAATATTAAACCAATAAAAATACACAATTAAATTGATAAAAGCACACTAAAAATAAGTAAGTATCGGAGCAAAAAAAGAAAACCCACACACCACACTTTTCCCGACTAAATCTAAAAGATAAACTGTTTTGAGTTAACAAATATTTGTACGTTTTAAATTGCGCCTTTTTACAAAACAAAAAAAAATATAAAATAAAATTAAGCCACGCAAAACTGTAAATAAGCGACTTAGGTTAAAAATCGTTTGTGCACTGTGTTGGTGTGTGTAGTGATAAAATGACACGCGTATATTTAATCATAACACAGCATATCACAATGCACAGCAATGTGCCACAACACTTTGCCATGCACTGCTACAGTCAATGGCATTCTAAAAAAGGGAAATAAAAAAAATCAAGCACTGTGATGCGTACTAACAACACATCGCATGTGCATGGTGTACGCCACAATATGTGTAGGTTGTGTGGCGGGAGGGGTACAGGGAAATATTAGGGGTCTAAAAATAGAAAATGAAATAGAAACTGAGGACACCCAGAGTCCTCAATCTCTTTTTCTGCAGCCTATCTCAATGAACGGAGAGCACTCAGTACAGAGGCTTCCCATTCATAACTGGTGATAGTAAAACATTTACTATCATCCAGTTTATGAATGGGTAAGAAGCCTTTATACTGGGGCTTCCACCCATTCAGAAACTCATGAATGAGCATCCTCCCGCACTCCACCCTGACCCACCGGCGATCCAGGATTTGTCAGCCAGCTGCTCCGATTTGCTCACTGCTCGGCCATCCTGATTTTGCAGCTCCCTTCTTCGACTCTTCCTCCAGCCCCCTCTCCCCCGGCCAGCCATTTCTCCTCAGATCCTCGCTGCTCAGCCCATACAGGCAGGGGAGAGCAGCGGGGATCAAGGAGAAACAGCTATTAAAAAGGGGCCGCCAGGGGAACCGTTCTGATACAAGTTCATGGTCATACTGACGTGGCCAGCTGAAAAAAGCCGTGTTATGCCATGTCGGTGGCAGCGAAAGGGTTAAAGCTAATGAGAAGGGACTTTCTGAATTTAAAAGCAGACCTTCACCCTGTAAATATCGTTTCTCTCAAGTTTCATCCCCCTCCTTATCACACAATAGCAAATAGTTTGAACACGTTAGGAAAAGTTCAAAGAAGAACTCCGGACAGAAATATTATTAACCCTAGCAGTGTAGAAACTCCCGTACTGCAAGGGTTAAATGCTCATTTGGAACTAGGTGAAGAAAAAAAAAAAAGTTAGGGTTAGGTTACACTAATCCACACTGCCAAGCCGGCTTGTTCTTAGACTAGTCCATCCAGTCTCACTTCCCCTCCTCTGCAGCGGTAAATAATCCGTGGCTGAATCTGTGGCCAGCTAAGCAGGAAGTCAGCTTGGTGAGTATAACTTTATTTTTAGCACCTACATTTATACTCACCCATTATGGTATGTCCTTCAGCATCCGCACATCCTATACACTGTATTAGATGCGATAACTCAAGGATTCCTATATCGCTGCGGGTTGGGGGAGGGGGGGGGGGTAGAGATGCTCCAGGGACCGGTCTAAGAGCTGGCCATCTCAGAGAATCGGGTAACTTATTTTTTTGTTACCCTAGGCAAAAATGAGCACTTACCCTTGCAGTGCAGGGGTGGCCCCACTGCAAGGGATAACTCCATTTTGTACCGAGTTGTAGATTATAACCTTTTTCCACTTCCCAATTCCTTGCCTAGGAGAGAACAACGAAGCCTTGATTTTCTGCTAGTCTGTCTCTTCCAGGTATGTGGCCTACAGAAGTCCAAGCATTCATGCAGACATGCCTCAGGTGTCTGCCAGGTCCCAAATACCTGAAACCAGCAGCATGTCTGTTCATGTGCAGGATCCCACTGGTCTCTTCCAAGTATTTGGGACCTGGCAGACATGGTGGCCTGGGAGCAGAGCAGGCCAAGGAGAACTTTAGCTGGAAAGAAGCAATCGCCGGACTTCATGGACTAGTAAGTATGGTTTACTGTATCATCATATAGATCAATAATTATATAGGAGGGAGGTTAGTTTAACCTAGGGGATGTTTACAATGTTTTAGGACTAGACCTGGCAGCTTAAAACACAACTTACAGTAAAATGTACAGCTGCATTAGACAGTAACATGAAAGGTCCAATTAGATGGAGGCCCCACCCCTGTAAAACCCCTGCATGCTATTTGAATAACTGTACCTGCAAGGGGAAAAAAGCTGGATAACTTTCATCTTTTGCATGACATCACTGTCCTTCAGGGGTAAGTCCAGGGGAACAAAAAGTACCCCAAATGTCACAAGAAGACAATCCAGACACTACATGAGCATCTCTTTGTGAAATTATGGATGCTCATTGTTCCCAGGAAGTTGCTGCCAATTATTATGCAGCCATTTTTACAGGGGGGAGGGGCTTACATCCAATACGAGAACCTTGCATTTTCCTGCACTACTGAAAAATGGCCTGGATGGGAAGGGGGTTTAACACCACGGATGTCAACTGGTTAAGAAACCACGGTGCTTGTTGCCTTTAGTTGCTCGGCAACGTTTTCTTTGTTCCTCCAGCCTTGGAGCGGCACTAAGGACATAAGGCGCAGATAAAAAGGCCCCCGAATGATGAGCAATAAGAATGTGACCCAGCCAGCCTTCTCGTCCTCACACCTCCCCATGGAGGCCTCCTTCGGTGACAAAGCATGGCACATTCTCGAGCTCATCCCTACAAGCCGCACTCACCTGCCTGCTGGCTAGATAGGCCTCCCACACGTACACGACCCATGAGAAGAGCAGCACGGCGTAGAATATCTGCCGCTCCACAGCCAGCTCGGACAGCACCATATTGGCAGCCGTACAACAAGCCGCAACAACCGGCTCGCAAGCGAAACCAAACTAGCTGAGCGATGATTGGTCCACGGCTGACATAAGCTGAATCCACGCCTTCATAGCGTGAACGTCTGCTACTGGCAACTGCTCATTGGTTGCCATGATAGGAGGCGCAAGCTCTGATTGGCGAAGAACGCTTGCGCCTATGAAGCTTTTCGGGCGTGATGATTACTCAGGAGCTGCCATTGGTTGAAAGTCACGTGGTTTCCTCTTCGCGGCACAGGAACTCAAGAGCTAGAAGGAGCACAAGGATAAAAGCTTTGGTGACAGCCAAAGTAGAGTGCGGCGCGCCGTGCGGCTGCGGAGTGTCGTGTATATATGAGATTTAGCGGAGGGCTGCCGCCTGCTTTAAGTGCTGGGAGTCAGACATGAGCAGCCTATAGCAATTTGTGAACAGAAATAATAAGAATACACAAGCTGTATTTTGCTTTATTACCAGATCAATTGGTTTATAGGGTCATCTTGGCCTTGGGTAAAGTCTGTCCAGTATACTGAATATGGAAATCTCAGTGCTAACATTGGAATACCTATTCCTGTGGCATAGAAAGCCAGTAGATCTGGGGAGATACAGATGAAAAATAGCAAGTGCCAAGAAGCATGAATAAATGTATAGCCATATGCAGGAAAAACAAAGTAAAGTGATCAGAAATGAAGAAAAAGCCAGGAAAGTGAAGATAATGAAAGAGAGAAGGGATGTAGGTAAATAAGATGTAGGAAGAGAAAAAAGGGAAGTGAAAAATGAAAAGAGGAGTTAAAAATAAGGAAAAGCAAAAAAATGCACCAAAAGCACCTCCCCTCCCCTCATGACTCCCAGGACATATTGGGGCAGTCAAGAGATAAGGGTTTTGAAAAGTCTCAGAGGCCCAAAAATCAAGCCATTCAGACCAAGTAATAATATATCGTTCCTTACTATCAAGTTCGTCAGCTTACAAACGTTCCAGGTCCACAATGCAGTCCATCTCCACAGTCCACCACTTAGCTAAAGTAGGTATTACCAGAGTACACCAATGTTGCGGAATGAAAGCTCTAAAGAAACGATGTGATGCGCCATCCAAAACCCCGTGCCAAATTCCTTAATGGGAGGGCAGTTCCAGCTAAAGGAGAACTATGAGGTGAGTGCTTTTCACTCACCTCCTAGTTCTAGCCGACCTGTGACAATGAGACTGTCACAGGTCGGCTCAGTATATCGGGAAGTGAGGGAACACATACCGGTGTTTGCTCACCTCTCGATCCTGTCACGGCTCTCTGCCGTGACAGGGGAGTGACTGGATTTCCCCCCACTCCGATCCGTCAGCGCTGACAGGCGGAACGGACGGGGGAGGGAGCAGGTACAGCTGGCTCTGCCTCTAGATAGGCAGAGCCAGCTGTAGCTTGTGGTATACTGAGCTTAGGGTGACGGGAGAACACTAGTTTGTGTCCTCCTGTTACCCTAAGGAGAACTATGGGGAAAAGACCTAACCCCATAGTTCTCCTTTAATCATTATACACAGTAGCTATTTTACCATAGCAGTGGTGACAGCCAGTAGGGTGCATGTATGGTGTATGCATGTAAACATTAGCACCAATGTTTACATCCGTACTGCATAAAATACGGTTATATACACAGCCCGGGGTGCAGCTGTTTTTGTCTTTACACTGCTGAACGTAGCACAACATTAGGCCTCATGCACATGAGACTTTTAGTTGTGTCCATACAGGTCTTGCAGTCATGAACTTGAATGGGAACAGTGGCATCTGTCCCAATCTGCAGGTAATTGTTCCATGTAGGATTGCATGTGGAGAGATGCTGCCACTGTCATTAACTTGAATGCGCACAGTGGCTGCATCTGTGTGGACTCACCTGGGATTCCTGCCATGGGAATTCACAGGTTGCTGCTGAAGGAATCACCATATGGACATAAAAGCCCAGGGTGTATGTAGCCTTAAGCTACATTCACACTAGGTGCATTTATATGCATTTAAAATGGTTTTCTAAACGCATAGATATGCATCTGATGATTTCCAATGCATCCATTCGCATCTCAATGCTTTTATCTGAAGCTGGCTTAGCTGCGTTTAGAAAAAAATAGAAATGTGGGGCATCCAGGAATTGATACGAACTTCTAAATGCACCAAAATGCCAGGTGTGTTTATCTGATGAAATCTCGCTGGCTACTATTTCAATGGGCAAAGGGCAGATGTGGAAGCATAAACAACGCATCTAGCCTGACAGATTTGCAGACAGATCTCTGTATAAAAAAGCAAGTGGACACTGTGAATGAAGTCTTAGGCTGCCAAGTGCAGCTGTGTGAATGGGCCCATAGCCTTTTATACTGCTGCATACAACACTATATGCTGTATGCAGCGCTTGTGACCTTCCACATGCATGAGCCCTTACAGTGTTGTGCCTCTTGCTCCTTCCTGAGCTTTACCATTTACAAAGCACAGCCTACGATGATGGTTGGGTCTCTGTCATATACACCATTTTGATGCTTGTTCTGGGTCAGTGGTTTGAAAAGGTTAAAACAATTCTTAGATCACGATGGTAGCCAGTCCACTAGTATTTTTAGAAGAAGTCAGCAATGGCTGCCTTTAAAGGGGAACTAAACCCATCCATTTAACTGTTTCTCAAAATGAATATATTCAGGGCATTTATTTGGTAATACCCATCAAGGTTGCCAATGTAAATGAAAACAACACAGCGCTGAGCGTGAATATAAATAAATATGTAAATATATAATTTTAAAAAATATATATATATATATAGTGTGTGTGGCGAATGAAGTTCCTCTTCAGGGTTTAAATAACACTTGTGCTGAGAGGAACCTTTTAAAGCAGAATTACACCCGTCTATCCTTGACAGCCAAGGACCTGGGGGAGAGTGCTGTTCTTCGGGAAGAGACGGCTCCTTTCACATGGGCTATATCAGCAGGAGAGCGGACTAAACTGGGCAAGTGAGATTGATGACCAGCAGATTCTTTTATTCAAAAGCCTTCTGTACTCACTATTTTATGGTGGGTACCCATTTTTGGGGGGTTGCGTGGCACAAGAGAGGAGATCACGGAGGAATATATTTCACACTTTTTTGTGTTTATTATTGAACTCATTGTCACTTGATACGATTCTAACATTGAGAATGTTTCAGAGTATCACTTTATTTGTATCATATTTTATGAATTGTTACGATGTGCTTGATTCATCCAATGTGGATTGATTTGTTCTGTTTGTTTTGATTAACACTCAACTTAAACTAGTTTCATTAGTAAGATTAAGTGATTTAGAATTATTCACTTTGAATGTTTATGTGGTTGGTACATCATTCACGTTTTAAAAACATCACATATTAGCACGTGTTAAGACATATATTTTTTTACTTATATATTTATATATATATTTTTTTATATTCCAGCTCAGCGCTGTGTTGTTTTCATCTTACTTTCAAGGTTCACCTTTTTTCATATCAGCTTTGCGGTACCCACTTTTAGAGTTTTCCAAGAGTGCAGATTCCTGTTATTAGCAAGGTTGTCAGTGTGCTTATTTCAGCTCTCCTTCAAACTTTAAACCTTCAAACCTCACATGGCTGGTGTCACAGCAGATCACATGTGGACTACTATGGCACCTACAAGACAAATAGAGGCTAACAGTACTTTCCTTGGCTGTCAAGGATAGACGGGTGTAATTCTGCTTTAAAAGGTTCCTCTCAGCACAAGTGTTATTTAAACCCTAAAGAGTAACTTCATTCGCCACACACACTATATATATATACACACATTTTTTTGTTTTTTTATATTAAATGAACATGCCCAGTGGTGTTCTGTAGGAATCCACCACTGCACAGCCGGTCTCGTGCCATCATCCTCTTCTCTGATGTCAGCAGGGGGTGGCCATCTCTTTCAGGTTCTTGCAGCCAGCCCCCAGATAACACACATGCACTGCATCATTAGGATGCAAGAACCAGGAACAGACAGCCGACCCCTGCTAATGCGTCACATGCACTGTAAAGTACCTTGAAGCCTCCTCAGATGCATGATGTGGGTAGCCCAGTAGGCTATAGGGAACACACATTTCATTCTCACCTAGGCGAGAATGCAGGGAGGTTTCCCTAAAAAAGGCATTTAAAAAAAAGAGAGAAAGTGGGTGGGGAGGGTGAAGGTCCGTACTGGGAGACAGATGAAGGGTTCCTGAATTATTATTTTTTTTCTATAGGCATACTTGTTCTGGATCAAGGCAGCCTACATACGCACAGTACATTTTTTTTTTCAACATTAACGCCTGCTCATAAGCCTAACTACCCTTGAAAGCAACCTTTCACTTTACCCAATTAGGGCAAAATGATAGGATCTCCCAAAAACACCCCCAACTCTATACCCACCACTACGGATAATCACCTTCTCCGCTCTGTTATCTGTTCGGTCCCCCAGAAATACATTGTACTTGAGGTATGGGAAAGCCTATGACCTTTGCCTTTCCCTCCCAGGATGCAAAACTCAGGCCTTAAAGTGGAATCTCACCTCCCCTGACATCTTCAGCTGGTCTTTTTCTGGGTCCAGAATTTTCAGCCATCTTGATTGGCCCAGCCAGAATGACATAGCTCTGACACATGGGAGTAAATTTATTCTGGTACTGAGAATGTGCACTGAGTATCTCAGTATACATCTTAAAAAAGATTGTGAACAGGCAGGAAAGTTGTTGTTTTTTTTATTGCAGAAGAGACATGTTATACAATAAAAAGCCTGCCTGCTCCGCAATTGTTTCATTCAGTCTGGCATTAACAGCCAATTGCCTTGCCCAAACACTGTTAATAGGGAAAAAAGGTCCTTAACATTAGACTCACAGCTCCAGCAAGAGGGTGGGGCAGTGGGGGAGCATGGGGAAAATAAGTATTTAAATGAACTGAAAGCATGAAACGTTACTTGTAAAATAAAAACATATGTACTGTCATTCTCACTTAATAGTGTGTCCCTGCATTCTCTGTGTCTACCACACCCCCTGTGATATTTATCATCACTCTTTTCAGTCACTGGTTCAATATTGGACAAGAGCTGCTACCCTTCAAGAATCTAATACCTGCCCACTCCTTGCATATCACTACACTTCTGCACATAGGATTCTTGGAGGGGCGTTTTAAAAAACATTGACATATGGAACAGCTATGCGAACGAGATTTGCAGTGCATCACAAGTACTCGATGAAGCCAATAAGCATAGCAAATTCCTGTGCTCCTCGGCTCTACCTTGTGGCCATAATTAGTTTTAAATAATGCCTCTAGTCTTAGGAAATGCTCTCAGTCTTAACCTGGCCATACATTATGCAAAGGTCTACAGGAGCCAGCCAAAATTCGCTCAGTCTGTACAGCTGTCAGTACCATTTGACTGGCATCCCTCAATCTGCTGATCAAAAGGAGCCGGTCAGAAAATCTTTGAACAGAGCCGGCAGCCAATGAGCTGCTGGCTCTGTTCAGGTATTCTGACAGTGGCCACTGTCAGATTACAATAAAGACAGTGGGAGATTCCTCGATCAACATTCGTAAGCATTGATGGAGGAATCTGTTCTATTTTTTTCCATTCAGCCCACGGGTTGGACGAAAAGAATAGAACAGTGTATGGCCAGCCTAAGAGTTATGGGGCTATTTTCTAATGTCTTTGAGTAACTGGCTATGTCACTCAGACATTGTAAAGGGCTCATAATGTCTTCTTTACAGACACCAAGAATGCACATAGCAAGCCATTTCACAGGGAATGCCAAGGAAAAGAAAACAGAGGGGGCGCCTTTCCTGGTGCAGAACATCTGACGAAGGGGGCGTGCCCCGGAAACGCGTCAACGTCATCTGCACACTGGATCCCCTCAGTGGATGTCCATCTGCTGTCAGCTTACATTATATGGCTGTTTTTTATCTATGTCTGTGAGTATCTTTCGGTTTATTTATGACTATTGAAAATAAAGTTGATCTGCACCAGGAAAGGCGCCCCCTCTGTTTTCTTTTCCCAGATTCCACAGCCTTCCCGGCTTCTTTGGGGGGCAGCATCCTGCAGTGTGCTTTTAAGGATTTCCCATTGAGGAGGGATTGTCTTTTTGCGGCGCTTCATTGCTTTGACTAGGGAATGCCAAGGTTTAGCAAAGAAACAAAAGACTGTGGAAGCAGGATAAAAAGGAAACTGGACTAAAATTACACATTAAACCTGTTTGAGAGACCAGTAACATGGATACAAGCTTTTTTTCCTTCCCCTTTCTCCCCATTGGGGATTTTCACTCACTTCCTGTCCAGGTGACATTGTAGTCACAGGAAATTAATATTGTGTTTTTACGATGGTGCAATGCCTTCAGGAATTTGAGGTAAGCGCTCTTGGTGGAATAGCAGCTGATTGTGGAGGGGTGTAATAGACCAGACTTGGTGCTGGAGGGATGCAGAGTTGGTAAGTGATGGTGAAGGGAATGAGCAGGAGATTTCATCTTGGAAACTGCAGGAAAGTAGAGATGTATGATGAAGGTGGGTATGTAGGGAAAGTGGACATAGTAGGGATTTTATTATGAATACAGAGACAGAGGGCATGGGAGATGAACAGGACAAGGACCCAGCAGCTTTCTGTAATAAAGATCTTAAAGATTAGAGGATGACAGAAGAGATGAATAGCAGAGAAAAGTGGTCCTTTGTAATGGAGAGTGCAATTGAAACCGAATCAAGAATGATCAGCTAAAAAAAACAAGGTCAAGAGTACATCATGTGAGACATGATACATGGACAGAATAAGAAAAGCACATAAAACAGCACAATGACTTAGTAGGAGCAGATTTTATCCAGGAAAAGGGATGCATCAGGAGAAAATTATTGCCAATTTAGACAGAAACATTACAGGTACTCAAGTCATGTATGAACTACAAGTACCCTCCCCTTTTTATTGGCAGTTATAAACATCTCATGCATTTTTTCTTCTTTCTCACCAGGTAGCATATCTACATACTTGTTGTGAATCAATGTATTAGAACAAGAGGGTCAGCATGACAACTAAGTGGCTCATTTTAAAAAAAAACAGCAGTATGGCCACACCACAGTCAATATTATAGGTACAAAAAACAAAAATACATTCATAAAGAACAGTGGTGTGCTTTTCAAATGTATTCTCCGAAGAAGAAACACAAGGAGCCATCAAGTGAGCGAAATGACAGAGAGATGGGCTCCTCGGTGTGCTGCTTTTCCTTTCACTGTCCAGTCACAAGTTGGGAGTGAGGTGGCCTGTAAGTGAAAGTAAAACTGCAGCAAAGAAAGTTTAGGTCCCCTCATCTGGTAAATCTTAGAACTGGATGGGCAGATATACAAATCCTTTGGCAAGTGAAACACATATATGAAAGCTGCATTTAGCTGTTTGCCTGGCATTCAGCTTTAAGATTGGTGGCTGTGTAACAAGTGATATAATCATATGATATTTTAAAAAAGTATGATTTTATTGTCTTGCACATAAAACAAGTCAGTACATTTAACATGTTTGTCACTTTCTATAAATTTTGTGCATATATTTGCTCCCCTGTTCTTATGCTCATGGTCCTACACCAGTAAAACAGAAAGTATATAGTATTTTCACTTGCTACAAAAAATGTTTTTTAATTATTGTAATGTATACCTGAAATTAGTTTTAGGCATGACTTTTTTGTATACGTTTGCCATATTTTGAGAGTCATATCTTATATACAGTACAAATTGTACATTTATATATTTACAAAACCACATAAAAACATAGATTGTTTACATATGGCAAAGTGACAGGGTCTCTTTAAGGTGATCACATTTATCTTAACAATACCCTCCGAGAAGACCACAGATTTCTATTAAGCCAGTACAAGATGTCTAAAGAATGTTAACAAGACAAAGAGCCCCTCTCAGAGCAGAAACTATTACTAAGAAGCAGAAAACCTATTTTCATGCAAGACACATAAAATAATTACCTTGCATCAATTATGAAGGAGTTTGTATCCGTCCCTCCTGGATCAACTTCATGAAATGTTACTCAAAGCATTGTAAAAACATTTTGACCTGTAAACATTAGATAAATCTGAATTCGCTGGTAACTATCAGTGTTTGAGGTTATGTTGTGCTAGATATCATCATCATCACTCCTCCCCTGATACTTTATGAATACAATAAGCATTACAATTGCAAAGAATGTACATAGGCAACCAAATACAAGGTAAACTATGCCCAGAAAGGGGTTCTTCCCTCCCATCCAAGACACGGTGCTGAAGACAATTTTTTTTCGGCCTCCGAAACTTATTACTGGATAATCTGTTGAGAAATAGTTAAGGTTTTTCATCCAACAAGGTTATAGTTTTCCTAAAGAGAGTGTTAAAGGTTTACTATAGATCTCCTCGCTATGAATAGGACTTAGAGTTATCCCTCCTGTCCCTAATTTCCACAGACTTGGAGATATGCTGGCTGTAAAACCTTCAAGGAGGGTCAGATGCCTGGATTCCCCCCCCCTACATTATTGCAGGACACAGTAGCAACACAGGAATCACAGCACACAGAGGGGGAATCAGGCATTCCATACACCCTGAAGTGTATTGGATAAGGAAGAAGTTTTATCCAGTATAGCTAGGCAGCAGTTCGATCAAGTATATGTCTTTGCAGGGAGCTCTTAAATAAAAATAAAGAAAACATTGGACTAGTGACAATTGCCCTCTCCTTGATCCTTGATAATGAAAACATGAGGATGTAGCAAAAAAAAAATGCATATGCATCTGTAATAACTTGATTTCACACTCTTAGATTTAAAGCTACAGGCAGCTGTTGCATGCACATTTTAAAAATGTTCCTGTCAAAATTGAGCTAGACTATGCCACAGTAGAGCCTTCCTAATTGTCATTAACCAACTACTGAGGCAAAGGGAGGAAGTGGGGCCAAGATCAACTTTTACAGAAATGTCAACATTTGCTATAATTCAGCGCCCTATAGTGCCTAATCTACTGATCATTTACCTTCAGTGAAAACTGCAAAGCTCTCTTTAGGCATTTTTTAATTACTGTATATGCTAGGAATGAATTTGCAAAGGGTTGTGCTAATTTTACAGTTTTAGTTATGCATGGCATAAAGTAGACTGTCAAAACCTCAAGTTATAAAAGGCTATTACAAAAAAAAGAGCTTATTACTAACATTAAAGGCTGCCCATAAACTGTAGGAATTTTGGCTGATTCACAGGAACAGTGTGTGGCACTTCCGACTCAACAAATGTCGACTACTCAATCAAATTTTGTCAAAGGAGCCAGGCAAAAAATTTCAGCTGAACAGTGACTGCAGTCACAGTTCATTTACTTTGACAGCAGCGGGCGCCACATCGGAAGATTCATCTAGCTACGCTGCTCAAATAGAAATTATTAGTGTATAGCTAGCTTTACAGTTAAGGTGAGGTTAAACAAAAACTTCAAAAGCTCTATCAGACCCCTTATTATTTCCCAAACATACAAGGCCATACTGAGTATTTGGGCTTTGATACCTTCCCCGATACCGGAACTTCCGTTCAGAGGACAATTTCCTCTGACCGGCAGTGCTGTAGGGGAACATGGAGCCGGCTTACTGATTGGACAGGAAGCCGGCTCCATGCTGATTGACTGGGAAGCCGTTTTCATGGCAATCACAATTGAGCTGGCCGAACAACATGGAGCTGGCTTTCCGTGCAATCAGGAAGTAACGCGGCATGTCATTACACGCTGCTTGGCTTCTTGATTGCCCGGGAAGCCGACTCCATGCCAGCGGAAGCACCGGTATCAGTACTCGATATCGGCGAGTAC